CTCCTATTCCTTTTATTTGCTTAGGACTTTTAAGAGTTGTATTTAAAAAAATTATCTCCTATTGTTCTAATTAATTTATTTTAAATATATTAGAGAATATTCTCTAAAATCCCTATCGCGTGTACTTTCACCACGTCATACACCAACTACATGAAACATGAAACCATATTACCTCAAAGAAAATGGCCCAAAAATAAAAATCATTAGATAGGCGTAATTCAATAATAAGCCATGCATTCAGCCATTCAGGTCGATCAACAATCTGTAAATTTAGTAAATACAACAATCTTCACACCCTACAGCTAAAACTAACACTCCAACAAAGAAAAGGCAAAACAGGACAAAGGGGATAGTGTCGAAACTCGAAACTAAGAGGTGAACAATAAGCGAGAAAAAAAAAATCTGAAAAATCACTAAAATGCAAATACAAGAGCATATAAATGTTGTCACATAAATCTAGTTCATTGACACAAGAACAACATTATTGGATCAACAAATGCCAATCAAAGCTAAGTCAAAGATCGATCATATGAATGCATCGTGGGGTCGACTCAGCTGCTGTCCTCGGAGATTCCATCCCCAGCATGCCTGCAAATAATATTAACAAATCAAAACACAGAGATCCCTTTTGTTCATATTCCATTAATTCCCAGCGAGTACTAAACTACTGACAAGGTAATTGTTCATATTACCAGTAACTAATATTCCATTTGACACCCATCAGCAGCAAAATTTTTTCAAGACTTTCACTAATAACTAAAGAGTAGCTTTCAATGAAAAAACATCAAGCAAGAAAAAATTCCAGGTTCAAAAACAAACCTCCACGAAGTAGTTAAATTACGAGCTTTTCTGTCCAGTTGCAAATTCTCCAGAGCAGCCGAGGCACGGACTACATCTTCAGGAAGCTCGTCATTTTCATATCTCCAGTTGTATTCATCTTTCCTATAGCCAGACATAGACGAGCCAGCTCGACGATCTGAGAGACAAACATATTTAAAAATTGTAAAGGGAAAAAAAAAAGATTGCTGTAGGAATATCAATTACAATGACTACTTACCAGAAGACTGTGAAGAAGGAAGAGGCCTGTAATAAAAACCGAACGAACCAAAAAATACCAACCGAAACTTCAAAACCAAGTTATTAAAGAGGAAAACAAACGGAAAATGATTATTGACAATATACCTTCCTAGTGGAGGTAAACCACCAGCAACTGATGTTGATGAAGGTCTCCTCACGTTACGAGCTTCCAAATTAGAAAGGGACTCGATATCCGATGTAGTTAATCTTCTGTTGCTAACCCTTCCCTGAGATAAATTCTGCAATTGCACACATGTCAAAATTGTGATGGAACACTGATGCTTCTATAGAAAAAAATAAGAGTGTGATTAGATATGGATTTGATTGGTTTTTTTGTTGACGATAGTTAATTTTGAAAAAGGTGGTATGATTAGTTGTGAGTGCAAATTTAAGTTTAGAATAAAATTTAAGTTGATTTATGAAGTAGGAGAAAAATGATTGAAAGTGATGGTTAATTAAAATTATGTGAGTTGGTGAATAGTGAATTAAAATTGATGTAATGTGTAAGAATGATTTGTTGATATTATCTAGTTGTATTGATAATATTCAGAATAGTGAGGTTGAACTAAAGTTGATTTAAATTTGAGTTTTTATTGTTTTTTTTTTTTTTTTTTTTTTTT